CTCATCCAACCCTCTCTAGTCTCCATGGCAACCAATATCCCATAATAAGCCCAGGAAGTTTTATCAATAAAAGGAGAGCTTTCAGTCCAGACTGTCAGTCAGATGATACTCGACCTTAAAAAGGATTTGCTTTTTGTCCTCTAGTGCTATGTCCACAGGGCCCCAGTCAGACAGCTCTTAAAAGCCCCTTTCTGAATAAGGGAGTCATCTTGGTGCCAGAGCTACTGACTGGAACCATAAGAAATCTCCCCTGAATCCAGCCATACTAGGTAAGATAACCACTAAGATTTCATAGCTCCTACAAAGCAAATAGAGTTTAGAAATTTCAGGACTGCAAATTGATGCAGCCACTATGGAAACCAGTATGGAGTTTTCTTAAAAAACCAAAACAGAAATGCCAGATGATCCAGCAATTCCATTTCTGGAGAATTACCCAAAGAAAACAAAATCCCTAGTCCAAAAAGATAAATGCACTATGTCATTATAACATTATTTACAATAGCCAGAATATGGAAGCAACCTGAGTATCCATTGAAAGATGAGTGGATAAAAAAGATGTGGCATGTACACACAATGGAATATTACTCAGTGATAAGAAAGAATGAAATCTTGCCATATGTGACAATATGGATGATGTATGCAGAGGGCACTAAGCTAATGGAATAAGTCACACAAAGATAAATGCCATATGATTTCACTTATATGTGGAATCTAAAACACAAAACAAATGAACAAACAAAATGGAAATAGACTAAAAAACACACAGAACAGATTGGTGGTTGCCAAAGAGGGGTTGGGGAGATGGTGAAAGAGGTAAAGGGGAAAAATATTAGTGAGAATGTTTGATACCTTTATCTGGGTGATGGTTTCATGAGTGTGTACATGTCAAAATTCATCAAGCTGTATACTAAGATTTGTGCATTTTATTGTAGTACCCTTCATATATATTTATATACATGTACATATATGTATACATATTTATATACATGTGTATATGTTTGAGTATTTTAGGAGATGTAGCAGGAAAGGGAAAATCCAAAGATTTCATTACTCAAGAAAGGGGACAGGGAGGATTTCCAAAGGACTGGAAACTAAATAGAAATACGCATGCTGTGGCTACTGGTAAGGGAGATACAGGCTGTGAGAGTGGCCTAGCCAGTTTACAGAGAGAGCATTTAGCATATTCAGTGTGGACAAAAGGGATAGAAAATGATGCAGTTAACATCCCCAGATGGAGGCAGAGATACCCCAGATGTGTTAGATACAGGATCAACAGTGTCCCATCATCTTATGGCAGGGATGTGGAAATATCCTTCAAAAGTGCTAAACTGATGGAGACAGACCCACTAAAGATGCATAGTTAAGGGAAGAAAAAAGAGAACCTTCTTAAGTTACCATAAAAAACAAAAAAATCAGTACCTAATATCAGATACATATGCCCCATAGAATGCAAGCTCCAGACACTTTGTAAAATAAATTAATAGATTTTAAAAAACCAGAAAGAAATTCTGGGATCATAAAATAATTTAAAATAAGAGAATATGTCATTGGGTAGATTCTAGTAGGATATAGGATGCTTTGATATGGGTTATCCAGTAGAGTTAAGATGCATTTGGCTGCAAGTTAGAGAATATCTGCCCAGTAGTGATTCAACCACAGGAATGTTTATTAACAATGATTAGAGGTGGTGGTTCCAGCTGAGCAAGGTTATCAAGGGCTCAGATCCTTTCATCCTTCTTCTCTGCCACCCTTAGCTTGTTAGCTTTCTTGCTCAAGTCTGTGGCCTCATGGCCCCAAAATGGCTGCTGCAGTTCCAAGTATAACATCCTCACACAAAAGTTTCCAAACCATGACAACACCAAGACACATAATAATTAAAATGGCAAAGATCAAGGACAAGGACAGAGTATTAAAGGCAGCCAGAGAGAAAAAAAAGGTCACCTACAAAGGAAAACCCAGCAGGCTATCATCAGACTTCTCAACAGAAACCTTACAGGCCTGAAGAGAATGGCATGATATATTCAATGCAATGAAACAGAAGGGCCTTGAACCAAAGATACTGTATCCAGCATGATTATCATTAAATATGAAGGAGGGATTAAACAATTCACAGACAAGCTAAAGTTGAGGGAATTTGCCTCCCACAAACCACCTCTACAGGGTATTTTAGAGGGACTGCTCTAGATGGGAGCACTCCTAAAAAGAGCACAGAACAAAACACCCAACATATGAAGAATGGAGGAGGAAGAATAAGAAGGGAGAGAAATAAACATCAGACTGTTTATAATAGCTCAATAAGCAAGTTAAGTTAGACAGTAAAGTAGTAAAGAAGCTAACCTTGAACCTTTGGTAACCACGAATCTAAAGCCTGCAATGGCAATAAGTACATATCTTTCAATTATCACCCTAAATGTAAATGGACTGAATGCACCAATCAAAAGATATAGAGTAATAGAATGGATAAAAAAGCAAGACCCATCTATATGCTGCTTACAAGAAACTCACCTTAAACCCAAAGATAAGCATAGACTAAAAGTCAAGGGATGGAAAAACATATTTCAGGCAAACAACAGTGAGAAGAAAGCAGGGGTTGCAGTACTAATATCAGACAAAATAGACTTCAAAACAAAGAAAGTAACAAGAGATAAAGAAGGACACTACATAATGATAAAGGGCTCAGTCCAACAAGAGGATATAACCATTCTAAATATATATGCACCCAATACAGGAGCACCAGCATATGTGAAGCAAATACTAACAGAACTAAAGAGGGAAATAGACTGCAATGCATTCATTGTAGGAGACTTCAACACACCACTCACCCCAAAGGATAGATCCACCGGGCAGAAAATAAGTAAANGCCTCAGTAAATTCCAAAAGATTGAAATCCTAAAAACCAACTTTTCAGACCACAAAGGTATAAAACTAGAACTAAATTGTACAAAGAAAGCAAAAAGGCTCACAAACCCATGGAGGCTTAACAACATACTCCTAAATAATCAATGGATTAATGACCAAATTAAAATGGAGATCCAGCAATATATGGAAACAAATGACAACAACAACACAAAGCCCCAACTTCTGTGGGACGCAGCAAAAGCAGTCTTAAGAGGAAAGTATATAGCAATCCAGGCATATTTAAAGAAGGAATAACAATCCCAAATGAATAGTCTAATGTCACAACTATCGAAATTGGAAAAAGAAGAACAAATGAGGCCTAAGGTCAGCAGACGGAGGGACATAATAAAGATCAAAGAAGAAATAAATAAAATTGAGAAGAAAAAAAAAAAGTTTCCAAACCAGGAAGGGAGAGGGCAGAAAATCGCACAGCCATATTTTTAATATGGAAGAAAGTCTTTCCCAGAGACCCCAGCAGACTTCTTACCTTTTATTGGCTAGAATTGGATCACATGTCCATCCAGAGAAAGTCACAATAAAGAGAACAAGATTGCCATGATTGGGGCCAATTACAACTTGACCCTGGGGTTGGGGGAACTGCAACAGAGGGTGATTGATTTGATTGTCTTACTATACTTTTCTAGTCTAAAGCCAATAAAACCAAAGTATTTCCATACCCCATTCCCTCTTCTGCAACATTTTCTCTTCCCTAGCTCCATGCCTCCATTAGGGGCAGACTCCATGTACCTTCCCACTTTCACCACTGTTTATCAAACTCATTCCTTCTATCTCATTCTTTTTCTGGAAAGTGATCCCAGCATCCTTTCCAGAACACTAGCCACCTGCCTTGATCTGCCTCCACGTGGATGATTTTTCAGAACTGACCTTAGGGGGACGTCAGCAGGCTTCTCACTGATTTTGCAAAGTTCAGGGGCCGCAGCTGCCTGTTAAAATTTCAGACGTTTTTTTTTTTTTTAAACCGGAGGAGTCCCATCAGAGAAAGGAAGGTAGAGTTGAGTGCTTTCTCACACCATTTCACCATTACACCCTATTCCTTCTCCCACCCCAGACTCTGTCTCCACCACTAACCCTCCTCTCCCAGGACTAGCAGCGGCTAGGACTGAGTGCTTTGGGACAGGAAGATGAGCTGTGGACCAGAGAGACAGCTCATGACATCATCTCTGCACAGAGATGATGTCTCTCTCCTTACACCTGAAACCCAATCTCCCACCCACAGCTAGTCTTCATTCTCCAGCTACCTTAACCCCAGGAGGAAAGCAGAGGCTAGATAATATTAAAGACATTAGTATTAAAAACTCTGGAGTTCTGAGCCCAGCCATCTGCACACAGTAGGTGCAAAATCAATGTTTTTGAACTAAAGCTGAGTGCAAACAGATGCCAGGATTTCTGTGGTTGCCTTGCTGGGAGAGGTGTCCCTGACCAGCTCCTTCTCACACACCATCCCTCAGTGGAAAAAGAAAATGTACTGAATGATCACATCTTGATAAAAATAGCTCTTAAGAACATACATTTGTCTTTGAAATCAACTGGGCTGACTATCTTAATTTTTTTGAGAGGGTTTCTTTACTGGGAAGAGGATGTATCAACATAGATAGTTGATCTTCTTTGTATCTAGTTCTGTTTCTCGTCATGGCCTGTTTACATTTGTCCTGGGCAGACCACCTCGCTGACTCTGGACTTGACTAGGTCCGGCCTCTGCGGATAGTATACAGCTGGAGGCAGAGCAGCAGGGTGGGCCGAAGCCTGGGCTACAGAGTCAGCAAATTCCAGCTTCCAGGCCTGCTTCAGTCACTTATTGGCTATAGGATCTCAGGGAAGAGACTTCACATCTTTGGGTCCATTCCCTCATCTGTAAAAGTGGAAATAATAATAGTACCCGCCACAGGGTTACTGAGAGGATCGTAGGAGGTAATGTGTCAGGACAAGTCCTTCAGATAGGCCAGCTGCTAATTTAGTTCCTGCAGCCCAGATCCTCTCCCAGCATCTCAGCATCTTATTGTTTAGCCCTTCTCCTTCCACCCACCAATTCTACCTGACCACATACACCATAAGGAAAAAAACAAAATGCAAGAACATTCTCTTTCGCTTGCTACCAAATTTATTTAGCTAATTTTTTTCTTTTGTCATTTTTATAAATGTCCCTGAAAATCTGAATTGATTGAAAAATAGACACTCCCTGGAAAAATTCCACATGACAGCAGGACGCTCCTTCATGCCGGGAGTCCTAAGCCCCGACTCTTGACTTGCTGGGTAGGAGCAGCTCTGCAGGGTAGGTTCATTTCCCCTCTCCTGTTCCAAGCCACCAGGCAGCACCCTCAGTCCCTGAACACCGCTCTCAACTCCGCCTTTGTCCTCAGAAAAGCACAGGAACTGGCCTGCTGCCACAGGAGCTCATTTTTCTCCAGAGCGATCCCTCACCATGACAGCTTCCCAGAGCCGAATCCAGAGCATGTGGGGGAATGGAAGGGAGGGCAGCATGGTGAGATCAAGAGGTGGGCTTTGCTGAGCACATCCTTAGGAGGCTGGGTGCCTGCTCTGTCCCGACTCCTTCGGTCCCCAGCCTGCCTCTTCAAGGTCCTGCCTGACTTGAAGTGGGAAGTGCGTTGGCACGTAGCTCAACCCAGGCCTCCAATTACGAGCCACTACCTGTTCTCTATGTTGGATACCTCCCATGGCTGGCCTCTCCTCCATTCTTCCGTTTCATGCTGCCGTTCTGTGTCCAAGGGCCCGAGACCCCAGTCAGCTTCCTCAGCAGGCTCTGAAATTCGGCTTGGAACCCTGACGATGAGAAGTAGTAGACAAGGGGGTCGACGCAGGAATTCAGGGTGCTGAGGAGCAGCGTGTAACTTCTCCACCGCGGGCTTTCACCCCGGACATAGCCCACTACATGGGACACATTGTAAGGCCCAAAGCAGACAAGGAAGTTGAGCAGCGTGGCCCCCACGAGCCCGATCACCCTCCTCCGCCGGTGACGGCTGGCTCCCCTGCTGAGCAGCCACACCAGGTGGCTGTAGCAGTAACCAGTGACGAGCAGGGGCACCCCAAAAAGGACCATGGCCATTTCCAGCCGGACAGGCAGAAGAACAGCCAGTTGTTCCTCCTGGAATTCCAGGAAGCAGGTCACATTGGTGCTCTGACTACGGAAGGAGTTCCCTGAGAACTCAGTGATGTAGACCACACTGCAGTGGGCAGCGGCCAGCAGCCAGCAGGCCACGCTGACCAGGCCGGCCTGTCCCGGCCTCGGCCGGGTCTTGTACCATAGTGGGTAGGCCACGCTCAGGAAGCGCTCAATGCTCACAGCTGCCAGGAAGAGGGAAGTGAGATAGATGGTGGTGAAGAAGAGGAATCTGGAGAGGGGGCAGAAAGCAAAGGGCAGGGGCCAGCGCATGTCACTGGCTGCCTCTATCATGTGGAACGGCAGGAAGAGCAGCAGGAGCAGGTCTGAGAGGGTCAGGTTGAGCAAGAGCACGTCCACAGCCACCGGGCGGCGGCGCAGCTTGCCCCTGAAGATAACCAGGGCCATGACGTTGAGGGGCAGCCCCACGAGGAAGGTGAAGAGGTACACGGAGAAGTGGAGCCAGTGACTGCCAGGGAAGAAGGACTGGTCTGGGCTGGTGTCCATGGTGACGGCCCCTGGTGAGAGAGAGAATGGGAGAGGGTCTGGGTGGGGCTCCTCCTGCCCTGAGCCAGCAGCACCTCAACCATCCACAGCAAACACTCCCTTACGCGCCCTGATGCTTTCTCCAGCAGGGCCAGCCTGCCTGTCATCCTATCCCTTCCCCCAGTGAAGCAGGCCCCAGGGCGCCCCTCCACACAGCCCCGTAGGGCCCCCTCTCACCTGCTTACTTGAGACCCAACTGCCCTGTTGCTGCTCAGCACATTGCGGATCCTCCAGAGCAAATATGATTAGATATTTATCTACCAGAACTGATAAACACCTGGCAGTGCCCGTGACATCACTCACTGCTGAGCAATGACACAAAAGATGCCTTTAGCTCTGCTACCATCTCCACGCCAGTATGCAAAACGAGGAGAGAATTCCGCTACTGCACGCCCGCTCCTCCGGCAGCCTCAGATGGGATGCCCTAACAAGCCCCGGCCGACTTCCTCTTCCCCTCCCTGATCCTCCACTTTTTGCATCTGCTCCTCTGGAATGGCACTCATCCAGTTTGCCTTGTAAGGACAAGAAGTGCAGTGCAGGGATGGAGAGCCTGGGCTCTGGAGCCAGAGGCCTGGGTGCAGTGCTGGCTCTGTCACTAACTGTATGACTTGGGGCAAGTGACTTAAACTCTCTGTATCTCTGCTTTCTCGTCTTTAAGCAGGGATAATGATAGCACCAATCTCAGAGGTTGTTCTATAGATTAATGCATTAATACATGTCAAATGCTTAGAATGGGACCTGGCATGTTGTGGTAAGCACTTAACAGATGTTAACTGCCATCACCCCAGTCACTGGTGTGGGCTTGTCTCCAGAGTGATGGTAGTAACAGCAGTATTGATAATGATGATATGGTGGTGGGGATGATGATAGCAGCTACCTTTTAGTGGGCACATAATGCATAGAGGATGCTCTGCTTTTGAGGGCACCACTATTATGTTTTGAAATCCCTGTATCTCCCACAATGGGGAAGTGACTTGCTGCAGCTAACACAGCTTATTAAATATCACCACCAGGTGTCAAACCCACATTCTGTCCAGCTTCAGAGATCATTTATTTATTCCTTCAGATATGTAGGGAGACCAATCAGATACGATTTCACACCCACTAGAATGGTGGTAAGTAAAAAAACAAAACAGAACAACTGGTAATACCAAGTGTCGATGAAGACATGTAGAAACAGGAATCTTCATCCATTGCTGCTGAGAACATAAAATGGTAGTGTCACTTTGGAAAACAGTCTGGCAATTTCTTAAAAAGGTTAAATTTACCGTGGGTCCCAATTCCACTCTAGGAACCTACATAAATTAAATGAAACGTGTCCACACAAAGACTAGCTCATAAATGTTCAGAATAGCATGGGTCATAAGAGCCAGAAAGGGGACACATCCCCCAGTGGTGCATCAGCTAGTGAGTGGATAAGCCATGTGTCACATCCCTACCATGGAATACTATTTGGCAACAAAAAGGAATATAATTTCCCTGTGCCCTGTGACATGAATGAACCTTAAAAACATCATGCTAAGTGAAATAAGCCAGACATGAAAGATGGCATAGTGTATGTTTCCATTTATATGAAATGTCTGGAATAAGCAAATTTAGAGAGAGAGAAAGGTGATTACTGATTGCCTGGGGACTGGGGGTGGAATGAGAATGAACTGTTAAGTGAGCAGAGGGATCATACCTGGGCAATGGCAATGTTGGTAGTTCCACACTTCACTTAAGTCTATAAAACTCATGGAATTGTACGCTGAGAATGGGTGAATTTTATGATGTGTAAATCTGATCTCAAATAAATGGTTGAAAGTACAGCAGGGAGCAACATCTGTTTGTGCTACCATGGTGCTTGTTTGTGAGGGGACGTGCACGGGTTGAGTGGCGGGAGGGTAATGAAGCTGTGGCGGCAACGCAGAGCCGGAGAAAGGGCTGTGTACACAGGCTGAGCCTCTGGGGGAACCGGCAGAGGTTTATGGCTCAGGGGGCAAAGGTCATGAGAGGGGGCGGTGCAGGTCAGGCGGGCCTCCCGGGCCCCAGGGAGGACCTGAACACTTCTCTGCTGGTGGAGGAAGCACCGGTAACTGGGAGCAAGGACTCCCCAGCTGCGGGAGGAGAGTAATCCCAGGGCTGGCGTCTGGGCTTTGACTGAAATTCTCTGGTGACACCATCACACGGGAAACTTGTTTCTGGCTTCCTCGGAGTCTTGGGCAAGTTACTTAACTTCTCTGGCCTGTTTCCATATTTATGAAATGGGTGATAAAACTTCCTTTGGAGGCTATTGAGAGCACTCATTCATTCAGCAAATATTTACTGAGAGCCTACTATGTGCCAGGGTCTCTTCCAGGTGCTGGGGCTACATCAGCAAATCAAACAAAATGCTTTGCCCTTGTAGACATTTAGGCATGAAGAGGAGTAACTTGCAGAAACCAGGTCGTGCATGCCAGGCACGTGGCCACCGCTCTTTGTGTTCCTGTCACTGTGGGTGCCGTGGTCATCAGAGGAAGAAGTCTGCTTCCTACACCTTGCCTCCTGCCGGCAGACGCCCGGATGCTGGTCTGCCTCAGGGCCGCTGTCCTCTGCCTGCTCTCTCTTGGGCTTAGGGTGCCCCCATTTGCCTTTACAGAATGGAACACAAGACCAGGCATTTACCCCAATACCCCAAATTTTCCAAATGTCCCCTGACCTCTGGGGGCCCTGCCTGAGAGATCACATCCCACATCTACCCATTCTTTGCTGTAGGCCCTTAGGGAAATTTCTTAACCCCACAAAATGATAATAATTTATCACTTACCATAATATTTTATTATTGTAATTTATCACAATATTTACCAAGATTTTTATGAGTAATTTATCATAATAACTGCTTGAGGAGTGAGTGGGTGGTGTCTTTGTTCAAATTAGAATAAGATCCCCCTTCCCTGGGATGGAAGCAGCCTGTGCCAGGCACACGGTTTGGTAAAGAAAGCACAGGCTAGAATCAAATCAGTGTTTGCCCCTTTGCCTGGCACCCTTGAGCAGTGAACAACCTGCCCATCTGTACAACAGCCTCGTGGCTAAATCAAAGGATTGTGTGAGGCTGAAATATGACAACACTCGTTAAGCACTTGATGTGATGACTGTCACGTAGTAGAGACTCTATATTTGCGACTATTTCTGGTGCTGCTAGAATTTTCCCTCCACCTACTGAAGTCTTTTCCTACCAACTTCCTGTTCACAGTTCAGTGCTGCCCCCTTGTGAGTTCCAAGTGGCATAACAGTGTCATTCTCCTGCCTCTTGCCTCCTTTTACTCAGAAATTAAAATGTTCTTTCCCAGGAAATGATTTTGGAGTAGCATCTCCCAAGAATGCCGAATAGATTGGAAGCAAACTGCCCACCTCTTTCCCCACTAGTCAAAGGCCTTTGCCCATAGCAGTGACAGCAGGCCAGTGAGGACGCTAGGAGGGGAGAGACACAGGTGGGGACATGCTGATATGTGCAGAGGCAAGCTTACCTTCTTCCTGCAACCTAGCCCTCAGCCTCCGTTCTTCTCTGGGACTGGGTCTCAGTCTTCTGCCAGGCTTGGCTCTTCCCAAAAGTGGCTCCAGTGATGCCCCCTGGCAAGGCCACCCCACAGTTTCTTTGGAGCAGCCCCCACCAGGGAGCCCAGAGAAGCAGCCAGGCTGTTCGGATCCATGCACCTCCACCCTAGTCGGAGCTACTACTTTTGGGATATCCCCCCTTTCGTTCTTGCCACACATGCTGTCCCCCGGCCAGTACCCCTTCCCAGGTAGCCAGTCACCAACGGGTTGAGCACCACGCTCCAAGCACCTGTGATGAGCCCCAGCTTCCGCCAATAGCCTCCTATATCGGGGTACAGGAAGCCAGCCACGTTGGAGGCATTGTAGGGTCCTAAGCAGAGCAGCAGCGTGAGCAGAGCCCCGCCAGCCACCCAGGCTGCCCTGAGCTTCCGTCTGTGGCTCAGGCCTGAGCGGGCCAGTGCCCGGAGGCAGCCCACATAGCAGAAGGCTGTGATGGTCAGGGGCAGGAAGAAGAGCAGGAGAGAGAGGCTGAGGCGAGCAGGGCCCGCTAAGGCTGGGTCCCAGGCCTCCAGGCAGACTGGAGAGCCATTGACGGGCGTATTCATGCCCAGGGAGCTGGTGGTATTGTCCATCCAGCCTCCTGGAGCCTCCAACCCAAAGACCAGCCCCAGGTGACAGAGGACAAGGGCCCATATGGCCACACACACACCTCTGGAATAGCAAGGCCTCCGGGCGGCTTGGTAGCCCAAGGGGAAGGCAGCTCCCAGGTAGCGGCCAGCACTGAGGGCGGCCAGGAAGCCCCCGCCGGCATAGAGCGGAGCGAAATGAGCCAGGGCAAAGGCAGGACAGAGCAGGGCGGGCAGAGGCCAGGCGCCCGCGGCCAGGGCCTCTACTGCCTTCAGGGGCAGAGAGGCCGCCAGCAGGAGGTCAGAGCAGCCCAGGTGGAGGGCATAGACAAGGCTGGGGGTCAGGCGGAGCCGGGCATGAGACACAGCACCAGCAATGGCCAGGACATTGAGTGGGAAGCCCAGCACAAACGCGGCGACATAGAGGGCGAAGGAGAGCTGTGGAGGCAGGTCCATGGGGCAGGTCCCTCACCCTTGGGCTCCCCAGATCCACCTGCTGCCTGCCCTGAGAGGGGGACCCCTGGAGTCACAAACAGGTGTCAGCACCGCGCAGGGTATTAGAAGCCATCCAGTGAGATAGCTGGGGTCAGGGAGGCCCCAGAGAAAGGCAGCAGCCAGGTAGCAGTGGAGCCCGACTGGCAGAGAGGACTGCTCGCCCTCAGTCCCCTGTGTTCTTTCCACCAAGTCACCTCTTAAAATGAAGGGCGCACCCGCAGAGTGACCGGGGGCGGTAGAGTGCATGTGCAGGTCCCGTAAGAGGGAAGGCCTCTTGATTTCTGAGCCTCTGGGGAGAGAAGCAGCAGAGAGAATTCAGAACTAAGGCAAGCCTGACAATACATCCTTTTCGTAAGAAGGTAAGTTGGGTTCCTGTTTCCTGGAGGGAGAAGGGGCTGCTACCCCCACAGCGCCGGAGGGGTGGCAGCAACTCCCAGCTGAAGGGGAGAGAGGGGGTGGCTTGGGTAAGGTGGCAAGGGCAGGCAGTGGGCCTCCCCAGTGCAAGTCCAGGGGTAAGCCGGGGCCCTTCAGTGACTCAGGGAATGACCTTAGCCACCTTCAAGGAAACGGGCGCTCTGGGGAAATGGTGGAGAAAGGAGCCACGGAAAGAGGGACTCACCTCTTGGCGCTGCCAGACGTCTCTGTGGCTCAGGTGTCCCCCTCCTGGGCTGAGTGAGGGTGCCCGGGATGGGCAGTGAGCTGGAAGGGTGAGAAGGGCGGGGTGGTAGGGCCATTAGCCCGAGGCACTAGCAGCCTGGGTGAGCAGCTAATGGGGCATCTCGGGCTGGAGCTGGGGCCAGGCTGCAGGAGGCAAGGGCCCAAGAAGATGACACGAGCACAGGAAGGGGAGCAATCCGGGCTTTTCCGGGTAGAGGGAGGAGTGTGTAGCCAGTACCTCAAAGGAACTGGGGGGGCGTGGTCCAGCTAGGACACGGCTTGGTCCCACCACCCAGGCACCCACGCCCTCCACCGCAGCCCCACCTGTTCAGACCTGCTCTGGGCTGTACATCCTCTCTCCTCCTGTGGGCGCTCAGGGGCAGGCCCCAGGCCTTACTGGCTCACACCTAGGTAACAAAGCTTAGTCACCCACACCCTTCGGTGACGAATATGCGGGATAATGAGGTCATCGGTGGTGGCCTTGCAGCTGCCTTCCTCTACACGTACAGGACAGGCCGTGGGCCCGTCTCCTCCATTCTCCATCTCCTTTCCCCTCTGGATTGATGACAGGGCTTTCTGACCCTCCCAGTGTTGGCAGGGGTGAGGAGGAGGAGACAAGGGGTGAGCAAAGTCGGGGTCGGTGGTACAGAAGTGACCTGGCTGTGGTCTCCACCCTGCTTCCCCCTGGGCTGTGTGGACGTCAAAGGGGATTCCTCCTGGGGCCACTTGCAGGGTCAACAGGCACACTCACTGGGGCACAGATGGTGCATGCCTCCAGCTGGCTCACTTCACTTTATTTTCAGCCTCTGGAAACTCAGCCCTTCACCTCCCTGTTGGGTTCACCTTGCTTCCTAAGTGAGGTTTAAAGCAGCCTCAGGCTGTCTCTGTGATTCGGTCTTTCTATCTCTGACTATGTGTATGTGTCTCTTCCTGTCTGCCTGCCTCTTTGCCGCCTGAGACTGACAGCACAGCCGCTCCCTGGACTTCAGTTTTCTTGAGTGTGTGTCAGACACCAAGCCACTGCCTCCCTCTTGCATGCATTCCAAGTTGCCAAGAAAAGGATTCTCCGAGCAGTTTCCTGGAAGTGCTTCTCATCAGGCTTCGGGGGGGTGGCATGGGGCTGGCTCTCAACAGTCACACACCAAAGAAATAACCTCATTTCCTTTCCCACTGCTGTCACTGAGTTGATCCTTGGTTGCCTCCCTTCCAAGTCCTACATAAGAGGTCCAGCACCTCCCTTGAAATACAGAACTTGCCGCCTGTTATTTAGTATTTTTGTCTTTGGGAAACACAAGAAACTGATGGAATGGAGGAAGCAATCAGAAAGGGTGTCATTTTACCTTCTGTGCCAAGCGTTTGGAGAAGAGCGAAGCAGGCACAAAGGGAAACATGGGGTCTACATGATCTTCTCCACTTTGGACCTGCCCACTTGGCGGTTCAGGTCCCTGCCTCGTGTCCCCTGCTCAGAGGGCCTTCCTGGAGCCCTCCATCCAAACAAGCCCCTCTGAACTCTAGTCTCTGTTTTCACCTTGCATGGTGGTTATTCAGAGTACCCACGACTCTGGCACATCAGTTTCAATGGCTCCTCCACTAGAATGCTGGTCAGCGGGAGCCAAGCATCTGTCTCCTTTGTCCACTGGCTGTTGCATACATAGTAGGAGATCTGTGAAGTGAATGAATGTCAGTTGTCTGGGTTCTAGGAGGATTGTGAGATCTGAGGCTGGGTGGAGGGCTGCCTGGGTTCAGGAGCTCCCCAGTTACCTGCTGTGCATGCCTCAGCGTTGCCTGTTGACGGTCACATCTCTTGGTCAATTGGCCATGAAGTAGGATAATGTCAGCAGCCAGGCTGAGAGATAGTCTGGGAAGGCACCTGCTGGTTGCCAGGGAGCCTGAGCCAGGCCTCATAATGCTTGGGGCTTCCTTCAGCTCCTTAAGGGTACCCTGGCCTAGAATACTGGGGGCACCCTAAAAACCCCAAGATTAATTAGGACTATGCCATATCTTTTCTGTATTCCAACAACTGGCTCTATGCTGGCTGAATTGACAGGTGTTCAGTAAATGTTTGCTGGATGAGTGGGTCAATGATACTGGACCTTGTTTTCTATACAGAAACACCAAACCCTTCCCCTCTCATTTAAACAGTTATCAAAGCCTTCCAGAAAAGCTAATGGTGCTCATAAGAAATCACACAGGGGACAAAGTAGATGGATGGGGAAATCAGTGCCTCACTCTGCTGCAATTCTAAAGATGGCCATAGTGTTGCCTAGTCTTTGAGAGCATTCTGATATCAAGCAGAGGGGAAAGATGTCAGCAAAGGAAGGTGGTGCTTTTGGAGCACTGGCCACCGGCCAGGAACTTGATGGTCATCTTCTTACTGATTGCTTAGCCACCCATTCCTGCCCTAGGAGGGTGGGCAGAGAGGGATCGAACCTGAGAAGTGGAGGGAAGCTGGGAGGATCTAACCAGAAAGTTGGAATTAGTGAAACTAATCAGGAACTGGTGGGGCTGACAGTGGATGACAGAACATCTACAAGGTTTCTCAAGGCAGCAGGCCTTTGAGAGGTTCTTACGCAACCGTAGTTTGTGACAGAACCTCCGCAGGGTCACTTTTGAGAACAGCTATGTGTAATGAATTGGCTTCCCCTTCGTACATTCTTCAAGAGATGCAAATAAGGCAGGAATTTGGTTTTTAGGGACTTTGGCTATTGTGTTAGGCTTCTTGTAATTCGACTTCAGCATATGTAAGATTATATCTTACTCCTATCTTGAACCACTACACAGCAGAGTGGCATCTCCATTTGACCGATGAAGAAACTGAGGCTCAGAGATGCTGGTGAAGTTCACCCAAGACTAGTCAAGTAGAAGAGTCAAAACTCAGACTCACGCTCCACTCATGCTCGCCTGCCTGCAGAGCCAGGACTCTCTAACCTGATGATTTGATAACCAGGGTGCTTTGACCCCTTTCCCTTTTGCTCGAGCTCTGTGATGCCTTCCCCATCTCCCCTTTCCCACTCTGCCTCCACAGACTAGGACGAGATCACCAATTCTTTGAAGTGGTACTGGAGCCATTTTTATTGTGCAGCTCTGTGTTAGTTACATGTTTGTCCACACTGTAGGTGTCAGACCCTGAGACCCCTGAGAGTAGGGGCTACAGTGCATGATCCTCTCCATGGAGTGCCTCCCTGGCATGTAGAAGAGAAACCAGCCTCCTTGTACCTCATTTCTGTTCCTCTTTCCCTGGGCTTTGCCACAGAAGCAGAAATTAGGCACAAGACCAGTGAGTGGGGCTATCAGAGCAGGGGAAGGGGGGCCAAAGGGATGGAGGAGAGAAAAATAATATAGTGGCAGCCTGATCCTGGCAGGGATGCAGCCATCTCGGAGCGGGGCTTGGGAAGGGTGGGTGGTGGTAGATGGCTGGGAGTGGCAGAGGGATTTGTACAGCACAGGGAAGGTGTTTAGATGAGTTTCTGGGTGGGAAGGAGAGGGCAATGGACTCAGAGCAGACCTTTCGGAGGGTTGGGGTTACCAGCGCTGAGAGGGCAGACTCTCTGGGCCATGCACAAAGTTCTCTGCACCGACTAGGATTGCAGTAATTGTGTACATGTGTGTGCATGTGTGTGTGGATGGGGAGGCCATGTGACTTGGTGGCTGAGCAGCAGGGGCCAGGGAAGCCTCAGAAGTGCCTTGGCCTGCCCCACAGCCCCTGGGCACCTTGGGCTCAAGCAGTTTGGTCCTTCAGTGCTTGAGGGTCACATATTCCACTCCTTCCCGGCTCAGGGGCTGCTCTCCGACCCCCAAATGAACCAGCTCTGAGTAGTGTATCCCCTCGTCTTCTGGAACATCCGGAATCACGTTCTCATAGTCACCCTGAGAAAGCCACATTGCAGTAAGCTTGGCCTCAAGGTCACCAGCCTGCCGGTCTTCTTTCCCTGCTCATTGGATCCTTGACTTCCCCTGGGGGTCTAAGAGCCCGAGCAGGGCAGGAGCTGCCCGGAAACTGGCTGCAGTGGGTGTCCCAGCCTGGGAGGAGCTGCCCAGTGGGGCTGTGCCTGAGCAACCCTCCTGCCGCCAGCCTCCGTGGCCAGCCTCCACCGCCACTGAGTCCTCCACCCAAGGCCTTCCCATCTGGGACACAGAGCTGAGGCCAAGTCCCCACCTTGTCACCTCCTATAGCCCTGCCCACTTACCGCTCGACATTTCTGCACCACAGAGTAAGTGACCGTGTCGTCCCTGTTTAGGGAAGGTCCCTGTGTCTCTGAGGTCCCTGCGTCTCTGGTGGGGAGGACAGACAGATGGCCACAAATGAAGCATTTCACACTCCTCCCCAAGAGCGCCAGCCTCTCTGCCCCTGATGCATTATGCCTCGTGCTCACAGTAGGAGCCAGTGTGTCAGGAGAGAGAATGTATGTGTGTGTTATGAAGTGCTAACCTCACTGGGGAGACCGACTCTGGGCATACGTGGTCCAGGTCTGAAGGAACAGATCCAATTCCCAAGGCCTTTACATACCCAGGGGCTGTTACTATGAGGAAATGAGGAAGTGGGTGTATGGCGGGGCCTGGCTCAGGTCTGGTACGGGAGCACAGGCCGGACCCCAGCTCTTCCTCCCAAATCCTCCCCAGGTGCAGGCAGCGCCTCCCAGGGCCCTTGGTACCCAGTTCTCAGTGTGTCAGTCTCATCAACAGGAAAGCGCAAGGCCGCGTAGCTGATGGTGTCTTCCATCACTGGATTGTAGCACCCCAGGGAGGGGGGACCTTCAGAGATGGGGGCCCTTCTAATCTGGGAGAGGGACCAGCTCTCAGCTCTCAGCACCCCTTTCCCCACCCGAGTTACTCCCCCCAGCCTCTGACCCCAGGCCTCCCCGCAGCACACCGGCTCCTGGCTTTGTTTCTCCCTTGAAGGCAAGGCCAGCCCCTCAATTCATCCTTCTCTCCTCCTACCTTCTTATTCCTCACAAAGAAGCTCTGCCCGCTAGAATTTTCCTGGAGTCCCTGCTGGCTTTGAATCCTCTTCCAGCTAAGAAATAAAGACCTGCTCAGTGAGGATGGGGGGAATGGGAACAGGACCCAGGGGAACCTGCCTCTGGGGGATCCCAGCTGAGTAACTGGAGTGTCTTCCTGGAGAGTAAGGAGCGGGACCTGGGGAGGAGCTCACCTTCGCTGAAGCTTGACTCCCCAGATTGCCAGGAGGAAGATGGCCAGGCAGAACCCCACTCCCATGGCCACGCGCCTGCTGATGGTCTCCGGGCTATCTGATGGAGAAAGGAGGTTCAGTTAATAATCCTGCCTCAGTCGCATAAAGGGTCAGGTCTGCCTTGAGGTGGGTGCCTGGAAGGCATCCTCGAGTCTCTGCATGGTTCCTCAGGCCTGGACAACCTCTCGTCTCTGTGTGGGGACGTGGTGCTGAGAAAGAGGGAGAATCCAGCCCCTGCCCTCTGGGCCTCCCAGGGGAGGAAAGGGCTAGCTCCTTCTATGAGGAGTGCCTATTCTGCAACAGACACGGGCACACACAGAGCATGTAACCTGTGTAATGGATACAACTCCAGAGGGCAGCTTGACCATGCTATCGGAACTTAAAAATTATATGTCCTGAGACCCAGCAATTCCATGTAGGAATTTGTTCTACAACTAGCCTTGCAGGTGTGCCCAGAGCAAGAGACTGCACATGGCCTTGATGTGGGCACTGGGTGGAGAAGTGAGGCAGCACCCACGCACAGGGATACAGCACAGCCTTTAGGGAAAGAAGCAGGTCTCCAGACTGTGTGCAAAGTAGAGACCCAGGAACATCTTTCTACACAGTATTTCCACATAATACACCGAGGCTGTTTCCCTTTAGCATTGCAAGCGATGATGCTCTAAACTTAAAGCTGTGGCTCCAGTCATTAATCTGAAAAAGTACAATAAATAAATTAAATATATTCCCTGTGTTTCTAGACTCTTCAGATAGCCTGTATATGCACAGATGCAGACAATCTCCAAGAGGCGTTATTACATGGAAAAAAAGACCGTTCAGGGCAAAGTTTGAGCTCTCCAACCATTTGTGTAACAGAGAAGGTGTGCACAGATAGACTATTTATGCATATTGTGCATGTGTGGAGTATCTCTGTAAGGAGGCCTGACCAGCTGCCAGCAGTGAGGACCTTGAGGGAGGGGTAGAGCTCTCGGGGAGCAAGAAAGGAGAGGTGTCTGTCATCACGCTATTTACCCTATCATGCTGTTTTCATTTTTTACTGTGTACATATATTGTCTTTATTTTTAAAAAAACAACACTAAAATCTCAAAAGATAAAAACAAGCAGCCTCTTAAGGGTGAGACTGAGAGAGGGACTCAGCAGAAGCTCAGATGTCTGGAGGGTGGGGCAGCCTGAGTGGGAATCCTCTGCGAGAGTCAGGACACAGAGCGGGCAGGAGGGAAGCCGGGCAAGCTGTGTGCGGAGCCGGGGCGCGCCTCTGCACGCAGGATGGCGCTGGCCATCCTGTCAGGCGGTCTGGAATGCACAGGCACAGTGGTGGGGGGCCCAGGAATGGCCGGGAGCACAGGAGAAGAGGAAGGGCCCTTACAGTAGACAGTGAGGGTGCTGGGGGGCGACTGGCCCTTGCCCAGATGGTTGTGCCCCTCACACCGATAGGCGCCTGAGTGCTGGACCTTCACGGGGTCCAATCTCAGCGTCCGATCATAATGTTGGAGGTTTTGGTTATTCCAGTCAAACCAGGTGTACTGGGAGATGGGAGGGTTGGCGTCACTCTCACATGTCAAGACTGCCTTCTTCCCCTCCATCACCTCCTTTGGGCTGATGGACACGTGCAGCTTCCGAGGCGCATCTGTAAGGAGAAGTGAAATCAGGACCCCGGGAGCCAGTTGCCTGCCCTCTCTGTTCTCAACCTCCAGCTCCAGCCACTCACACAGCACTTGCAGCCTCCAGGCCTCAGACGTGGTCTGTCCTATGGAGTTGTTGACCAAGCACTTGTAATTTCCAGCATCTTCTGGAGAGATGGAGTGAAAGCTCAGTTCTCTTCCTTCCTTCAGAAGGATTCCGTTTTTCTCCCAGAAGAAGCTGACATCTGCAGGACGGCTACTTGAGAAGTCACATTGGAGGAAGACTGGGTGCCCAGAATGAATCTCAGGAGTGACGTTGCCTGGCCGGACCCTGACATCTCTGGGGGCATCTGGAGAGCAAAGGCCTCAGGCTGATTTCTTGGGTCCCTTGGGCTCTTCCTGTCCCAGGACTTCCTCCCCCCTTGGCCCCGTGGCCTCTCATCCCTCAATTCTCTGGGAAGATTCTGGCCCAGGTCCCAGTCTCCTCATTCCCATCCCGCCTGGACTACCCCCCAGACCGCTCTGCCCAGCTCACTCACACTGGACATCCAGGTGGACGGCAGGAGCCTCTGAACACCACTGGTTACAGGCTCTGCAGACTATTGGCCCAGCATTCCAGGCAACCTTCTGAATCATTAGCACTCCGGGGGATGGCTCCTTCCAGGGGCCTTGGGAGCTCCATTCATATCGGGTAACTGCGGGGTTACTGGAATTGTAGTTACAGAACAGGGTCACACTGTCTCCCTCTCGAATCGGTGTGAGGTTTTGAATCACTGTAGTTACCTCTTTGGGGGGATCTGGAAGAAAACCCGGACAGGTGAAGAAGAGTCAACTGTCCATCACACCATTTCTTTCCTGCTTTCTCTCTCCCCCAACCTGTCCTAAATTAACCAAAGGAAGGTTCCCTCTTGTGTCTGTGTGAGGACAGAAACCCTGCCCCAGCCATCTGGCAGGCTGTGGTTTGAGGCAGGGTGGTGCAGTGGTTAAGAGCACAGCTCTGGCAGAGAATGTGTGGTGCCATGTGAGGCAGAGCGTGCTGTTTGCAGGTCTCAGTGCCAGTCCGGGGTGCAAGGCTGAGTCGCTGTGATACAGGCATTAATAATAATTTTTTTTAAACACAGCTCTGGAGCCAGACAGCTGGGCCTTGCCACTTGGAACTGTGTGACCATGGGCTGCAAGCCTCAGTTTACTCATCTGTCAAATGGGGTCCTAGGAGCATCTAACCTCTGGAATTGTTGCAAGGACGAAATGAGATGATGATGCCCTTAGCACATGTGGCGTGCAGTAAAGACTGCTGCTGCTATCATATATCCCGTTGGCTACATGGTCAGTATTTAGGCATCTCCATTAGCATATCTGGCTGAGACTGAGACATCCTGGAGTCCAAGGATCAAACCTATGGTTCCTCTTTGTCCTGGACTTGATTCAGTGACAAGATTCACTGTGTTAAACAGGGTCTGACAGTGATGAGGTCATGACACATTTTACCCCAGTTTTCCTTGAAAACTTAGGACTCCATCTGGGACTCAGCCACTCAGACACTAGGCTCAAGTCAGCCTAGTCACGGCAAGTCTCCATGTCCCTCATGGGGCTTTGGCATCTTGCACTTCATTCATTCAACAAACATCTACTGAGCCCCTACCATGATCCAGGCCCCGCTATGGTGCTGAGAATACAACTGTGCACAACAGCAAAATGGCCGCCCCAAGAAGCACACATGTCCGAACATCCTGACACCTGCTGGCCACTCATTCTAGGGCTTTGAGCCTCTGCATGCTGTCTGCCTTCCTGCTTCTCCCTCCAGAACCCAGAGCCTCTGTGACCACTTACATTGGACATCTAACTCCGCATACTGGCCCACTTGCCCAGGACCAAGGCTGTTTTCTGCCAGGCAGGAATAATTCCCAGCGTGCCGGAGGAGGACCGCTGAGATCGGGAAGGCCCTGTCTGTCATCGCCGGCACTTTGATCCCATTGTGATACCAGGTATAATTTGTTGGAGGAGGATTGGCCTGTGATGTACAAGTCAGCTCTACTTTCTTGCCCTCCTTAGCTGGGGAGGAGTGGATCCAAACCGTGGAAGGTCCTGGAGCGTCTGGAAGCAGGGCAGAGGCAACAGGAGGAGGTGAGCAGAGGCCTCTGGTGCTCACCTCTCCAGGGCCTTGACTCCACCCCTGCTAACTCCCTGCCTGCCCCCTTCCCAGCTCCCAAGAGGCTCACAGTGCACTTGGAGGGTCACTTGGGACTTTCCTGGGCCTATATCATTGCAGGCCTCACACTGGTAGTTTCCACTCATCTCCTTGGTCACAGTGGACAGAATCAGCGTGAGTGTCTCCTGCTCCCTGTGCACCTCCTCCTTCCTCAGTGGGGTCCCATCCTTGAACCAGGTTATATTCCGGTACCCTGGGTTGCTGCTGATGATCTGGCACGTCATGGTCACAGACTGCCCCTCTGTTACAATGGCCTCTCTGGGACTCACCTCAATCTTCAACCTTGGGATGTCTGGAGGAGCAGAGGGACAGTGGGGGAGGGGACAGGGAATGATCAGAGGGTGTACAGCAGTGAGAAGACACAGGGTTTTTGTTCTGATAAAGCACCGGCCAGTACATCGCACACAAGTGTGGTAACAGTGGCCACTCACTGTCACCCTTGTCAACGAGGGTGGGCTGGCCCAAGTGCCTGGGTGACTGTTACAGCCTCCTGACTCCTCTCTCTGCTCTGCGCAGCCCCACCTGTCCCCAAAGGTCTGTCATCCACCAGTAGCCAGCAGCATTCCTAATACTGTCAATCAGACCTTGCCACTCCCCTGCTTGAAACCCTTCAGTGGCTTCCACACTTGGAATGAAATCCAAAACCCTGTAGCCTAGGAGATCTATCCTCACAGTCCCTCTCCACCCTCCTGTCCCACCTTGGGCCCCTTGGACTCAGTGCGGAGGCTTCCTGGCCCCTTGCTCTGGTGCAGACACACCAAGTCTCAGCTTCTAGGCTCTTTCCTCTCCTTGGAATCTTCTGGCAAATGTCTGCCTGCTTCAGTCTCTTCCTTCACTCAAGTTCAGCTCAAGTTTTCCTTCCTCAGAGGCCTCCCTCCCTCCCTCTGTTCTTGCCCCATTTTATTTTCTCTTAATAGACTGACCACTACCTACAGTTAGGTTCTACATTTCTTGGTTAATCTAGTCATTGTTTGTCTCCCCCACTGCAATGCTGGCTCCATGTGGGCAAGCACTTTGCTTGCTGCTATATCCCTGGCAGCTGTAATAAGGCCTGGCACCTGGTAGGTTCACAATAAATATTCATTGAATGAATAAATGGGGCATAAATGATGTTGTGAAAAAATTCCTCACTCTTTCCCCCAAGTTTGGGGAACAAAACAATCCTAACCACATGATACCCAAATCATGTCAGGGCTTGAGGATAGATTGAATTAGTTAATTCTGTTAGCCCATATCACATGTTAAAATGAATCTGGGTTCTGAAACACCAGGGCTGATCACAGGGATGGTGGAGGAGGGCTGGTAACTCTGCTTGGTGCCTGCAGACCGATCATGCTTCCTTCTGTGTAGGCCCCAGGTGCCCTCTGTGCTGGCTGAGGGGCTGGGGAGAAGATGACAGGGCCCCCAACCTTCCCATAGGAGCCCTGGGGCGACTCACACTTCACATCCAGCCTCACGGTCTCCTTAGAGAGTATCTTCTCTGCTTCCAGATCCAAGAGCTGGCAGGTCAGATTCTTGCTGTGGTCAATCCACTGTGGCTGGAATGTGAGCTTGCTCTGGGTGGAGACAGTCTTGGTGGTCAGGGAGGTTGAGGTGACATCAGACCCCTCCAGGGACCACCGCAATTTGATCTGGTACCCAAAGCAGGCATAACTCAGAAGGCAGGTCAGAGTGACTTCCTGCCCCTCCCGGATTTCCGGAGGGAGCTGAATGTGAGGTGGAGGAGCTATCTCTGCAAAAGAGTAGGGATGGCTTGGAGGCCTGGGAGACCGAGGACCAGCCTTTTATAGCTCCATTCATATCGGGTAACTGCGGGGTTACTGGAATTGTAGTTACAGAACAGGGTCACACTGTCTCCCTCTCGAATCGGTGTGAGGTTTTGAATCACTGTAGTTACCTCTTTGGGGGGATCTGGAAGAAAACCCGGACAGGTGAAGAAGAGTCAACTGTCCATCACACCATTTCTTTCCTGCTTTCTCTCTCCCCCAACCTGTCCTAAATTAACCAAAGGAAGGTTCCCTCTTGTGTCTGTGTGAGGACAGAAACCCTGCCCCAGCCATCTGGCAGGCTGTGGTTTGAGGCAGGGTGGTGCAGTGGTTAAGAGCACAGCTCTGGCAGAGAATGTGTGGTGCCATGTGAGGCAGAGCGTGCTGTTTGCAGGTCTCAGTGCCAGTCCGGGGTGCAAGGCTGAGTCGCTGTGATACAGGCATTAATAATAATTTTTTTTAAACACAGCTCTGGAGCCAGACAGCTGGGCCTTGCCACTTGGAACTGTGTGACCATGGGCTGCAAGCCTCAGTTTACTCATCTGTCAAATGGGGTCCTAGGAGCATCTAACCTCTGGAATTGTTGCAAGGACGAAATGAGATGATGATGCCCTTAGCACATGTGGCGTGCAGTAAAGACTGCTGCTGCTATCATATATCCCGTTGGCTACATGGTCAGTATTTAGGCATCTCCATTAGCATATCTGGCTGAGACTGAGACATCCTGGAGTCCAAGGATCAAACCTATGGTTCCTCTTTGTCCTGGACTTGATTCAGTGACAAGATTCACTGTGTTAAACAGGGTCTGACAGTGATGAGGTCATGACACATTTTACCCCAGTTTTCCTTGAAAACTTAGGACTCCATCTGGGACTCAGCCACTCAGACACTAGGCTCAAGTCAGCCTAGTCACGGCAAGTCTCCATGTCCCTCATGGGGCTTTGGCATCTTGCACTTCATTCATTCAACAAACATCTACTGAGCCCCTACCATGATCCAGGCCCCGCTATGGTGCTGAGAATACAACTGTGCACAACAGCAAAATGGCCGCCCCAAGAAGCACACATGTCCGAACGCCCTGACACCTGCTGGCCACTCATTCTAGGGCTTTGAGCCTCTGCATGCTGTCTGCCTTCCTGCTTCTCCCTCCAGAACCCAGAGCCTCTGTGACCACTTACATTGGACATCTAACTCCGCATACTGGCCCACTTGCCCAGGACCAAGGCTGTTTTCTGCCAGGCAGGAATAATTCCCAGCGTGCCGGAGGAGGACCGCTGAGATCGGGAAGGCCCTGTCTGTCATCGCCGGCACTTTGATCCCATTGTGATACCAGGTATAATTTGTTGGAGGAGGATTGGCCTGTGATGTACAAGTCAGCTCTACTTTCTTGCCCTCCTTAGCTGGGGAGGAGTGGATCCAAACCGTGGAAGGTCCTGGAGCGTCTGGAAGCAGGGCAGAGGCAACAGGAGGAGGTGAGCAGAGGCCTCTGGTGCTCACCTCTCCAGGGCCTTGACTCCACCCCTGCTAACTCCCTGCCTGCCCCCTTCCCAGCTCCCAAGAGGCTCACAGTGCACTTGGAGGGTCACTTGGGACTTTCCTGGGCCTATATCATTGCAGGCCTCACACTGGTAGTTTCCACTCATCTCCTTGGTCACAGTGGACAGAATCAGCGTGAGTGTCTCCTGCTCCCTGTGCACCTCCTCCTTCCTCAGTGGGGTCCCATCCTTGAACCAGGTTATATTCCGGTACCCTGGGTTGCTGCTGATGATCTGGCACGTCATGGTCACAGACTGCCCCTCTGTTACAATGGCCTCTCTGGGACTCACCTCAATCTTCAACCTTGGGATGTCTGGAGGAGCAGAGGGACAGTGGGGGAGGGGACAGGGAATGATCAGAGGGTGTACAGCAGTGAGAAGACACAGGGTTTTTGTTCTGATAAAGCACCGGCCAGTACATCGCACACAAGTGTGGTAACAGTGGCCACTCACTGTCACCCTTGTCAACGAGGGTGGGCTGGCCCAAGTGCCTGGGTGACTGTTACAGCCTCCTGACTCCTCTCTCTGCTCTGCGCAGCCCCACCTGTCCCCAAAGGTCTGTCATCCACCAGTAGCCAGCAGCATTCCTAATACTGTCAATCAGACCTTGCCACTCCCCTGCTTGAAACCCTTCAGTGGCTTCCACACTTGGAATGAAATCCAAAACCCTGTAGCCTAGGAGATCTATCCTCACAGTCCCTCTCCACCCTCCTGTCCCACCTTGGGCCCCTTGGACTCAGTGCGGAGGCTTCCTGGCCCCTTGCTCTGGTGCAGACACACCAAGTCTCAGCTTCTAGGCTCTTTCCTCTCCTTGGAATCTTCTGGCAAATGTCTGCCTGCTTCAGTCTCTTCCTTCACTCAAGTTCAGCTCAAGTTTTCCTTCCTCAGAGGCCTCCCTCCCTCCCTCTGTTCTTGCCCCATTTTATTTTCTCTTAATAGACTGACCACTACCTACAGTTAGGTTCTACATTTCTTGGTTAATCTAGTCATTGTTTGTCTCCCCCACTGCAATGCTGGCTCCATGTGGGCAAGCACTTTGCTTGCTGCTATATCCCTGGCAGCTGTAATAAGGCCTGGCACCTGGTAGGTTCACAATAAATATTCATTGAATGAATAAATGGGGCATAAATGATGTTGTGAAAAAATTCCTCACTCTTTCCCCCAAGTTTGGGGAACAAAACAATCCTAACCACATGATACCCAAATCATGTCAGGGCTTGAGGATAGATTGAATTAGTTAATTCTGTTAGCCCATATCACATGTTAAAATGAATCTGGGTTCTGAAACACCAGGGCTGATCACAGGGATGGTGGAGGAGGGCTGGTAACTCTGCTTGGTGCCTGCAGACCGATCATGCTTCCTTCTGTGTAGGCCCCAGGTGCCCTCTGTGCTGGCTGAGGGGCTGGGGAGAAGATGACAGGGCCCCCAACCTTCCCATAGGAGCCCTGGGGCGACTCACACTTCACATCCAGCCTCACGGTCTCCTTAGAGAGTATCTTCTCTGCTTCCAGATCCAAGAGCTGGCAGGTCAGATTCTTGCTGTGGTCAATCCACTGTGGCTGGAATGTGAGCTTGCTCTGGGTGGAGACAGTCTTGGTGGTCAGGGAGGTTGAGGTGACATCAGACCCCTCCAGGGACCACCGCAATTTGATCTGGTACCCAAAGCAGGCATAACTCAGAAGGCAGGTCAGAGTGACTTCCTGCCCCTCCCGGATTTCCGGAGGGAGCTGAATGTGAGGTGGAGGAGCTATCTCTGCAAAAGAGTAGGGATGGCTTGGAGGCCTGGGAGACCGAGGACCAGCCTTTTATTCCAGGCTTCGGCTGCCCCACCCAGATAATTTCAGACTGCCCCAGGAGTCCCTTGCCAGTCGGTTCTACCTCTCTCTAGGCCTGCCTTTCTCTGCTTCCAATTATTTTTGCTTAGCTGAAGCACTGTCAGCAAGGTCTTAAGGATGCTAGTGCTTAGGAACTCTATTTCATTTATACTTATCACTCCCTGATGTTTGCTTTCTAATGATTTCCGAGATCTTTCTCCCCACCACCCCTAAGTGAGTTCTACCAGTGTGGTTTCCACATGCATTTCTTAGCTTTGATGACAGCCCTGCATTTGTGGTATGTCTCAGTATTGGCGATATGCAACTCAGAATTCCTTTGGGAAGCCTTTAGTAGAGGAGGCCTGTGTGCAGCCAGTCCCAACCTTCCTCGGGGCTGGGCCTCTCTCAGACTGCAGGGTCTGAAACTACATCTCTCACCCCAAACAGGGTTGCTTAGAACCATTCTCAAAGAAGCAACCTGTGGTTCAGAGTGAGCACAACTCCTTGGGGTGGGGGCCCCAGACCTTTCTTTAATTCGCCCTTACTCATGTGGCACTTAGCCATGAAGGGCTAATGAGAATAAATCACATTAATGACATTAACACAATGGGAGATTTCACTTGAAAATCCAGATTTCTATCTTCTTTTGAAAACTCAGGCAACCTGGAACCCAGATTCCAGAATGGGCAGACGCTGAGGGGCAGGTGGGGTGCTGCATGAAGGACCTGTGCTCAGACCTACTCTCTTGTGCTGCCCTGGTCACTAGTCGGCACCCCCTGCCTGGTGTCCTGTCCTGGGGGTTCAGAGTTTCCCACCTCCCTCCTTGCCTGTGCCCTACATGGAGGGCCCTATCCCCCAGGGCCTTACGAGAAACGTTGAGGCCTATAAACTCCATCCATTTGTCATTCTTCGATACCATCCTCAGGCCCAGTTGACCACTGTCGTGGACGGACACAGAGTCGATACGTAGGGTGCAGTTATCTTTCATATTTCCCAGGAATTGTACCCTTTTTGGCTGAGAAGATAACGTCCCAGTCTTTGTTTTCTGGTAAAGGATGGTCCCGTTGTAGGTCTTGGTAACATTGTCATACTTAGGATTGTGGTACATGGTCAGGTTTTCCAGGATGCTTCCACCCCTCAGGATTGTGTAGCGGCAGGGAATCCAGACGCAGGCCCCCTCCCAGGCGTACAGGATGTCGGGGTGCTCAAACTTCCAGCCCAATGAGTCAGAGAAAGCCACATATTCTGGAACCCACCACAGTGATTAGAAAGCATTATTGAGTGGGGCAAGGAGAGCTTTCAAAGGCACAAAGAATCCCTCTGAAGACAGAGGGAGAAAGAGGGAGGTACACGCACAGAGAAGTACATGCACACATCTACCCTGGCTGTCCCCATCCGACCCCACGTGCCCTCTTCTCTGCCCCAGAGCTTTCCTCCCCCTCCAGCTCCCACAGACTTCCCAGACCCCAATGCCACCCTGGCCATAGTTCTTACCAAGGAGCAGGAGCGAGGAGCCAAGGAGGTGCATGGTGTTGTGTCCAGGTGGGGGCCTGGGCTGGGAAGAGTTTGTCTTTGAGCCATCTGGTCACTTACTTCTTCCAGACGGCTTTTTTTGCTCACCCGCTGAGCTCTGACTCCTCTTCCCCAGTCCCGGGAGGACCATGTCTGGCTGCATGTCGGGATGTGGAATTCTGGATGCCCCTGGGCCCTTTTCTGGGTATGCCATACCTCTTCTACCAGCTCCGCAACCCTGAAGGCTAGTCTCTCTCTCTTCCTGCTGCTCCTTCCTTTCATCCATCTACCCAGCCAGCCAGCCATCATTTTACAGATTTCCTGCCCAGCTCACAAGCTTTGAGTGGCACCAGGCTACTGAGAACCTCGAATGCCAGGCCTTGGCTAACTTGGAGCTCACCTTGGGCCACTGGTGGAGGGCTTTACATTGGAGAGAGACCTGGTCAAACCTTGATTTTAAAGACCAGGAAAAAGCAATAAAGCAATAAACCCAGTAATTAAGTATGATACCAGGAGAGCATTTAGAGGGGTCTGGCAGGACTTAGGATAATGTGATCTGAGGGTCCCACTTGGATGCCCCCAGGGGCTGGGTAGAAAGCAAGTCAACCTGGTGGGGACAAAGGTCATGTCTTGGGCGAAGGGGTTTGACTATTTCAACTGTGGTGAAGTGGAAATGTGCCAGATCTTCCACTGTCTTAAGAGAAGTGGGAAGCCAGATTTTCACGTGAAATACCCTGCTTTAAAGCAAATGAAACAACAAATGTGGTGCTAGTCAAATAAAATGCATTTGTGGGCTAGAAGCAGCCCTGGGGCACCCACTGCCCCATCCTCTCTAGCCTTCCTATTCTTTTACATAGAATTACATTTACATAGAGTTAAATTTAAGTCTCAATTTGCATGGCTCCCTGGGGAGCCAGCAGGATGGCCACAGAGTGTATCTCCGGTCTCAGCGCAGACCGGTACCCCTCCCACCTGCCCAGCCAACTTTTCCCACGCATCAGCGCCCCACCAGCTCCTCCAGCTGTTTATTTTCTCAGGCTGCATGCTCATTGATGAACGGCAATCCATGTCCAGTAACCAGTGTCGGGAAAGCTAAAGGACTTGCTAAAAGCAGGACAGAGATCTGACCCAGGTGGAGTGGCTGTGCTGGCCTTGCCTAGATATGGATAAGGGGTAAGGATTCTGAATTGGGGCAGACTCTCCAGGCAGAGCCGACACCACCTTGCAGGTGCTAACAGTATTACACAAAAAAAAATCTTCAAAGTCACGTCCATTTGGGAAAAGTTGCATTTTAAAAAGTTAAATAGGGTTCTTTACTGTAGGTCTTTTCAAACCCTGTAATCAGCTGTGTGTGCATGAGACACCTCCCAACACAGGGGATAGAGCATAGCACACTGCCCGCCCTTCTTCAGCCATGGGATCTATTTCATGTTTTCCATGAGAAACCGAGCAGGTTTTCAGGGCCAGTGTTCTGGGGGTGCACTTTCAGCCCCTTAGGGTTTCCACAAAGATTCTGGCAAGGGTTAGATTCTATTCCTCTGGCAAAGACTAGCCTCCAGTAGCCAGGCCATTTTGTGCCCCCTGCCTGGAGCCACCAGCTACACCCTCCCTGGGGACTGATGTGAGAACACCTGGATGAGTTGAAGAGGGGTGCTTCCCAGAGCAGGGCTGTGCGCTCACCCCACGCAGCTCCAAGGCACCCTCTGGAGCCTCAGAAGTGGGGCATCAGGCCTGGAACTGGGAGGCTGCTGAGATAGGGTGAGGTGTGGAGGCTGGGGACAATGGCATTCGGGCTGAAGGCTCAGGACAAGGACATGCCATCCAGTCCTGTGGCCTGCTCAACACAAGCCTACCGGGGGGGCTGGCAGATCTCAGAACCAGCCTCCCTGAGTGCATTCTTCCCTCTTGGGTAGCTGGTAACCCGTCCTACTCTCAGGAGACTTGCCCAACCTGGCAGGGGGAATGCTCAAAGACAGGGGTCAGCAACCTGCTGTAACATAGGTAAGACAGAGGGAGGGGGTCCCCACTGTGTTCCTAGCCCCAAGAATTCTGCCTGGCGCACAGAAGCTGCTCTATACTTGCTTGCTGAGTGCCAAAGAGAACAAAATCGTTTTTACCTGTTTCCTCGTGTCTTCCCTCTTCAGAGACCTTGCAGCATCTGAGACTGAAAGGGGAAGCCCAGCTAAGTCCCCAGTGCCTGGTTCTCACCCTCCTTGGCCACACCCCCTGCCTCTGTGGCTCTGAGGGTGACCAGGAGGCATGATGATCTGGAGAATGGTGGAAAAAGGCAAGGAGGGGGATGTGGGCTTGGAGTCAGACTGGAAGGAACACTCGTATATCTACTGGTGAGTTTTTAGTTTTAGTGTACAGTTTCTACATCAGATAATTTCAGAGCTGGCTCCTCCACAACTTCCCCTCTATCCAGCTGTCAGGAAATGCTAATGAGTCAAACCAAGCAGATTAGAACTACCAACCTGTTGAAAAAGGCACAAGTCAGCTTGAAAGTACTTACAGTTTGGTGACATCATCCAGTTATTCTCATTCCCCATACTTGCCCTCCATAGGCATGGATGGTCAGGACCTGGTCACTTACACTGGTGCTTCCGCCGTCCCTAAGGGTTGAGGGAAGAGCACACAGGTAGCAGGAAGGAAAGAGGTAACATATTTGAAGTGCGATTGCCTGGGCATGTCTTGAGACTCAAACCTCATCACTTTTATCAGGCTTCTAGTCCCTGAATGTCTTTAGACCAGACCCCAACAGCAGGCACAGCCAGGCAAGTCTACAGTTGATCGCGGAAGCCTCTGAGATATCTTCACTCCGGCATCAGCACACTCTCCTGACTGCCAGCTCTGGAGAAGGAAACAGAAAGAGGAAAGAACGTCTTCAAAAAGCAGTGATCTGGAAAGATGGAATTGATGCATTTTCCCCTATTGCTTTTGCTAATTACAGCTAAAATCCCTGGATATTATTAAACAAGCATAAGAAGACTGAAAGGTGGAGAGAAGGCGCAGCAGTTAGGGACCTCAGGACCTGAGGAATGATACGGCAGTGAATTCTCAGGGTTTTCCCTTTGCTTTCATATATCCCAGACTGAACACTGGAGGAGCCAGCCAGCAAACAGAAGTGGTAATGAGCACAGACAAAAAAGTCACAGCAAAGAATTCTAGTCAGAGAATCAGGAAAAGGGCAGTCTAGAAAGACATAAATCTTCCAGACAATAACTGCCCAACTCCAGCCAAATACCACAGAAAAACCTACAGCTTCACCCCCACTCCTGACAGCAAAGGCTGAGTGGGGAACCTCTACCTCCACCCTTGCCTGGCTGTAACAAAGGACCCTAGGCCACTCCCCTATACCCTATGGGGTGCCAGAGGAAACCAAACGTGGAGCTGGGCCCTCTACCCCCACTGGGTTCATCCTCCCCAAAGTGTCAGTGAAGACCACGTGGGGAGCCTGAATACCCACCCTCAGCCAGTGATGAGACAGTCCTTCGCCTCCTCCCTGGAGAGGTGTGAGAGGAGGTCCGGGGGAGAGTCAGGCTTTCACCACTACTCAGTGGTAACAAGGCCGCCTCCTGCTGTGCAATCTGCATGGAAGCCACTTGGAGAACAGTAAGGAGGTGCCCCTGCCGCTCCCAGCCGGGCAGTAGTAGTGGATGCCTAGTGGAGAACCTGAGCTCCCATCCTTGCCCAGAAATAACAAGGAACATTCACCCACCCAGGTGTCAAGGGAGGCTGAGTGGGGAACCTGAACTCTACCATCACTTGGAAGTAATGAGATGGTATCCGCCTTCATTTCACTGGAGCAGAATCAGGAGAGGGTTGCTAGAAAAAAAAACTTAAATAAGATCCAGTCCTGTAACGTAATTCCCAAAATGTCCAGGTTTCAGTGGAAAAGTCACTCATCATACTAAGAACCAGGAAGTTTTCAAACTGAATGAGGATAGAAAATCAACAAACACCAAGATGATGCAGATGTTAGAATTATCTGACATTCATCAGGTTAAAGCATTCATCATAAAAATAGTTTAGTGAGAAGTTACAAACAAGCGTGAAACAAATGAAAAAAATTTCAAAATCCTAGCAAAGAAATGGAAAGCATGAAGAAGCACCAAATTTCAGAACCAAAAAATACAACTAAAATAAAGGCCTTAATGAATGGGCTCAGCAGGAGAATGAATGGTAAAGTACAGAAGAAAGAATCAGTGAACCAGATCATAGAACAATAGAAATCACACAACTTGAAAAGAAAAAGATAACAGAAAAAATGAGCAGAGCCTGAGGGACATGTGAGACGGTAACAAATGATGTAACATTCGTGTCTCTGGAGTCCAGAAGGGTAGGAGAAAGAGGGTGGGGTTGAGAAAGTATTCCAAGAAATAATGGCTAAAAAAAATGTACCTAAGTTGACAAAACAAACAAACAAACCAAAAAATACCTACGGATTCAAGAAGCTGAATGAACTCCAAACAGGATAAGCCCACAGAAATCCACACCAAGATACATAATCGTCAAGCCTCTAAAAACTAAAGAGAAAGAAAAAAAACTTGAAAGCAACCATGTGACCTATAGGGAGAAACCCATTCAAATGACAATAGATTTCACATCAAAAACCATGGAGGCCATAAGGAAATGAAACATTTTTCAGATACTGAAGGAAAAGGAGCTATCAACCAGAAGCTATACCTAGTAAAAATATCCTTCAAGAATGACATTCTCAGATGAAGGAAAATTAACAGAATTTTTAAACAACAGAGACCTACCCTAAAAAAATGGCTAAAGGGAATTCTCTCAACAGAAAGAAAATGATGTTTTAAAAAAAGGAACCTTGGTTTATCAGGAAGTGAGAACATTGATAGATCAAACCCATGGGTAAATACGGTAGACTTTCCTTCTTGAGTTTAATAAATTATGTTTGAAAGTCAAAGCAAAAACTATACACTGTATAATGCTGTTCTCAGTGTATGTAGAGGAAATATTTAAGGCAATTATATTAAAAATTGTAGCAGGTAAAGGGAGGTAAAGTTCCTACACTTCACTTGAACTGGTAAAATGTTGAAACCAGTAGACTTTGACAAATTATATACAATGTAATACCTACAGTGACCACTAAAAAGCTATACAAAGTGATATTACTCAAAAACACTATAGATAAATCAAAATGGAATTTTAAAATATTGTTGGAGGAACCCACATGAAGGTAGGGAAAGCAAAGAGAAACAAAAAGTAAAATGGCAGACTTAAGCATCAGCATGTAAGTAATTACATTAAAGGTAAATGTTCTAAATACACAAATGAAAAGGCAGATCGACACAGTAGGTAAAAAACATGACCCAGCTATATGATGTCTATAGGAAAATAACTTCAAATATAATTACATAGGTGAGTTGAAAAGAAAATAATTTAAAAGGGTATACCATGCCAACATTAGTCCAAAGAAAGTAGAGGGTTCCTCAAAAAATTAAAAATAGTACCATATGATCTAGTAATTCCACTTCTGAAGGAACTTAGAATACTAACTCAAAAAGATACATGAACCCCAGTGTTTATTGCAGCATTCTTTACAATAGCCAAGCGTGAAGCAACCTAAGTGTCCATCAATGGATGAATGGATAAAGAAAATGTAATCCATATCTAAGTCCATTAAGCTAACTGAAATAAGCCAAACAGAGAAAGACAAATACCATATGATCTCACTTATATGTGGAATCTAAAAACAAATAGACAGACAAAACAAACTCATAGATACAGAGAACAGATTGGGGTTGCCAGGGTTTGAGGGTGGAGAGGTGGGCACAAGAGGTGAAGGTGGTCAAAAGGTCCAGCTTCCACTTATAAGATAAATCAGTCCTGAGGATGTACAGTACTGTGACTATCAATACTGTATTACATATTTGAAAGTTGCCAAGAGAGTAAAAATTTCTCATCACAAGAAAAAAACTTGTGACTCTGTGGGGTGATGGATGTTAGCTAGACTTATTGTGGTGGTTGTTTCACAATATATAAACATAGTGAATCATTATGTTGTGCACCTGAAACTAATATGGCAATTATATCTCAATTTAAAAAAGGAAAGTAGGAATGGTTATAATAAAAACAGATAAAGTAGACTTCAGAACAAAGAAAATGACCAAAGCCAGAGAGGAATATTATATAAGGAAATGGTCAACCCACCGAGAAGACATAGCAACCTTAAATGTGTATGTGCCAAACAGCAGAGCTGCAAAATATGTGAAGAAAACACCAATAGAAATGAAAGGAGAAATAGGCAAATTCACAATTATTATAGTTGGAATCTTCAACAGCACTACTTCAACAAATGATAGAAAAACTGGACAGAAAATCAGCAAACATATATAAGAACTCAACAACACCATCAACCAATAGGATCTAGTTGACATTTATAAGACACTCCACTCCAAAAGAGCCTGATATACATTCTTTTTAAGCACCTATGGAACATATACCAAGATAAACAAAATTTAGGCATAAAACACACCTTGAATATTTTTAAATAATTGAAAACATATAGAGTATATCCTCTAACTAATTTGATTCTAATAAAATCAAACTAGAAATCAATAACAGAAAATCCCCAAACAGTTGAAAATTAACGGTATACTTCTAAATATATGAGTCAAAGAGGAAATCTCAAGGGAAATTTTAAAAGTACATTGAACTGAAAGAAAATAAAAATAGAGCATATCAAGTTTTGTGGGGCACAGCTAAAGTGCAAAAAGAAAACTTCTATTGCTAAATGCTTACATTAAAAGAAGAAAAGTCTCAAATCAATAATATAAGGTTCCATCTCCAGAGACTAGAAAAATCAGAGAAAAATAAACCCAAAGCTAGCATAAGGAAGGAAATAATAAATATAAAGGCAAAAATAAATGAAGCTGAAAACAGAAAAATAATAGAGAAAATAAAATAACTGGTTCACAGAAAAGATCAATAAAATTGACTAATCTCTAGTAAGACTGACAAATAAAGAGAAAAGACAAATTGCTAATGTCAAGAATGAAATGGGCTATCACTACAGATCCTGCAGATATCAAAAAATAAATAAGGGAATATTATGAACAGCTCTACATATGTAAATGTGGTAACTTAGATGAAATGGATCAATTTCTCGAACAGTGCAAATTACCACAACTCACCTAATATGAAATAGATCATTTAAATAGCCCTATGACTCTGAAGGTAATTTAAATTGTGAAAAATAAATCTCCAGGGCTATATGACTTTACTGGAGAATTCTACCCAACATTTAAAGAAGAATTAGCACTAATTCTACATTATCTCTTCCAGAAAATGGTAGAGGGAATGCTTCTCAACTCATTGTATGAAGTCAGTATTACCCTGGAACAAACAAAAAAGATACTAGTATGAAAAAAGAAAACTACAGACCAATATTCCTCATGAGTATAAATGCAAAAATCCTTAACAAAATATTAGCAGATGGAATTCAGCAACATATAAAAAGAATTATACACCATGACCAAGTGGGGATTATTCCAGGGATGCAAAGCTGGTTAAATATTTGAAAATCAATGTAACCTAATATTAATGGCATAAGGAAAAAAAATCACATGATTGTATAAACTGTTACAGAAAGGCATCTGACAAAATTCAACACCCATTCATGATAAAAATTAGAATAGAGAGGAAATTCCTCACCTTGATAAACTACAACTAACCTACAAAAACTGCAGCTAACATATCAACACTGACAGACTGAATACTTTTTCTCCTAAGATTGGGAGCAAGGCAAGGATATTCCCTCTCACCACTCTGAATATTGAATATATATATTCAATATAGTACCAGAAGTACTAGACAGCAGAGTAAGACAAGTAAAAGATAATAAAAGGCATACAGGTTTGAAAGGAAGAAGTAAAACCATCACTGTTTGCAGATAACATAATGGTCTGTGTAGAAAATCCCAAGGAACCTAACAAAGAAATTCTAAAACTGGTAAGTCCGGCAAAGTTGCAAAACACAAGAGCAACACAAAAATTAGCTACTTTTTTTTATGCTAACAATGAACATGTGGAATCCGAAATTTAAAATGCAATTCCATTTACAAGGGCTTAAAAAATGCTTAGGTGTAATAAATCTAACAAAATATATGTAAGACTTGTATACTGAAAACTACAAAACACTGCTTAAAAAATAATCAAAGAAAACCTAATCAATACCATGTTCATGAATTGCAATATTAAATATAGCAAAGACGTCAGTTCTCAAATTGATATACAGATTTAATTCAACTCCTATCAATATCCCAGCAAGACTTTTTTGTAGGCATAGATCAGATTATTCTAAAGTTTATACAGAAAGACAAAGAACTGGAATAAAAAATATTTCTGAAAAAGAAAAACAAAGGTTAAAGGCAAAAATAAATGAAGCTGAAAACAGAAAAATAATAGAGAAAATAAAATAACTGGTTCACAGAAAAGATCAATAAAATTGACTAATCTCTAGTAAGACTGACAAATAAAGAGAAAAGACAAATTGCTAATGTCAAGAATGAAATGGGCTATCACTACAGATCCTGCAGATATCAAAAAATAAATAAGGGAATATTATGAACAGCTCTACATATGTAAATGTGGTAACTTAGATGAAATGGATCAATTTCTCGAACAGTGCAAATTACCACAACTCACCTAATATGAAATAGATCATTTAAATAGCCCTATGACTCTGAAGGTAATTTAAATTGTGAAAAATAAATCTCCAGGGCTATATGACTTTACTGGAGAATTCTACCCAACATTTAAAGAAGAATTAGCACTAATTCTACATTATCTCTTCCAGAAAATGGTAGAGGGAATGCTTCTCAACTCATTGTATGAAGTCAGTATTACCCTGGAACAAACAAAAAAGATACTAGTATGAAAAAAGAAAACTACAGACCAATATTCCTAATGAGTATAAATGCAAAAATCCTTAACAAAATATTAGCAGATGGAATTCAGCAACATATAAAAAGAATTATACACCATGACCAAGTGGGGATTATTCCAGGGATGCAAAGCTGGTTAAATATTTGAAAATCAATGTAACCTAATATTAATGGCATAAGGAAAAAAAATCACATGATTGTATAAACTGTTACAGAAAGGCATCTGACAAAATTCAACACCCATTCATGATAAAAATTAGAATAGAGAGGAAATTCCTCACCTTGATAAACTACAACTAACCTACAAAAACTGCAGCTAACATATCAACACTGACAGACTGAATACTTTTTCTCCTAAGATTGGGAGCAAGGCAAGGATATTCCCTCTCACCACTCTGAATATTGAATATATATATTCAATATAGTACCAGAAGTACTAGACAGCAGAGTAAGACAAGTAAAAGATAATAAAAGGCATACAGGTTTGAAAGGAAGAAGTAAAACCATCACTGTTTGCAGATAACATAATGGTCTGTGTAGAAAATCCCAAGGAACCTAACAAAGAAATTCTAAAACTGGTAAGTCCGGCAAAGTTGCAAAACACAAGAGCAACACAAAAATTAGCTACTTTTTTTTATGCTAACAATGAACATGTGGAATCCGAAATTTAAAATGCAATTCCATTTACAAGGGCTTAAAAAATGCTTAGGTGTAATAAATCTAACAAAATATATGTAAGACTTGTATACTGAAAACTACAAAACACTGCTTAAAAAATAATCAAAGAAAACCTAATCAATACCATGTTCATGAATTGCAAGATTAAATATAGCAAAGACGTCAGTTCTCAAATTGATATACAGATTTAATTCAACTCCTATCAATATCCCAGCAAGACTTTTTTGTAGGCATAGATCAGATTATTCTAAAGTTTATACAGAAAGACAAAGAACTGGAATAAAAAATATTTCTGAAAAAGAAAAACAAAGGGGAAGGTACCACCCTACTTGGCTTCAAGGCTCATTACAAAGTAACTTACAGGAATCAAAACTGTGTAGCACAGAGCAGACAAGTAGGGACTCTGTGGCATCTTACTACACTGATGGACAGTGACTGCAATGAGGTTTGGGGTGGGACTCGATAATATGGGTGAATGCAGTAACCACATTGTTTTTCTTGTGAAACCTTCATAAGAGTGTATATCAATGATACCTTAATAAAAAAAAATTTGAAGAGCGAAGAAAAACTGTGTGGAACTGATGGGGGGATAAACACATAGATCAGCTGAACAGACTAGAGAAACCAGAAATAGCCCCCACACAAGTATGGCCAACTGATTTTTTTTTACTTAGGAGCAAAAGTAATACAATGGAACAAAGACAGCCTTTTCAACAAATGGTGAAGGAGCAACCATATATCCACAGGCAAACTTAAACCTCAACATGAGGTACACTTTTTGCAAAAATTAACTCAAAATCGATCATAGATTTACATCTGTAACATTAAACTATAAAACTTTGAGAAGATCGCATAGGAGAAAATGTTTGGGACGTAGGGCCTGAAGAAGAATTCTCAGTCATGAGACCAAAAGCATGACCCCTAAAATCTACAAATTGGACTTCACCAAAATTAAAATTGTTTTTCTCTGTGAAAGATCTTGGTAAGAGAATGAAAAGACAAGCTACAGACTGGGAGAAAATATTTGCAAACCATGTATCTGAAAAAGGACTCTTTATCCAGAATGAATATATAAGGTACTCTCGAAACTCAACATCAAAAAAAAAATCACACGATTCAATTAGAAGGTCGGCAAAAGATATGAAGAGACATTTCAATGAAGATCATATAAAGATAGAAAATAATCACGTTAAAAAGTGACATCACTAGCCTTTAGAGAAATGCAAATTAAGATCACAATGAGATATTTTATTAGTGAAAATAAAAAACAGTGGCAATATTAAATGTTGGAAAGGATGTTTTATACACTGCTAATGTGAATGTAAAATTGTCCTGTTGCTTTGGAAAACAGTCCAAAAACAGTTTCTCAAACAGTGAAGCTCTGCCATTCCACTCCCAGGTATATACCCAAGAGAAATGAAAACATATCCACCCAGAAACTTGAACACAAGTGCTCATAGCAACATTATTCATAAAAGCCAAGAAGTGGGAAGAATCCAAATGTCCACCAAGTGATGAAGGGAAAAGGAAATATGGCATATTTTGACACAATGGAATACTATTTGACAATAAAAAGAAATGAAATGCTGATAGATGCTATAACATTGAAAAACTTGAAAAATTAAATAAAAGAAGCAGATCATAAAAGGCCACATGTTGTATAATTCCATTTATATGAAATGTCCAGAAAAAGAAAATCTGTAGAGGCAGAAAGTAGATTTAAGCTTCCTGGGGTGGACGTGTTGAGAGGAAATGGGGAGGGACTTCTTATGGGCACGGGTTTATTTTGGGGGTAACTAAATGTTCTAAAATGGATTGTGGTGATGGTTGCACAACTCCGTGAATATACTTAAAACCACTGAAGTGTACCCTTTAAGTGGGTGGATCATATGGGCAATTAGAAAATGGGTAAGAGACACAAAGAGACATTTCACTGAAGAGGATAAACAGATAGCAGATAAACACATAAAAGGATGTTCAACATAATTAGCCATTAGTGAAATGCAAATCAAAACCATGATCACTGCATGACTATTAGAACAGCTAAAGTAAAAAATAATGACTATACCAAATGCTGGTGATGATATAGTGAAACTGGATCATTTGTACAGTGCTGGTGGGAATGTAAAATATAGAGCCACTCTGGTAAATAGTTTGTGAGTTTCTTGAAAAACTAACAAAATACAGCTACCATATGACCTAGCAATTCCACCCTTAGACATTTATCCCCAAGAAATGAAAACATGTCCATACAAAAACCTGTACATGGTTGTTCCTAGCAGCCTTATTTGTAATAGCCCCTAACTGGAAACAAACAGCATGTCCCTCAATAGAAGAATGGTTAAACAAATTGTGATCCATCTATCCCATGAACAGGCTGTGATCCATCCATACCCTGGAGCAATCACAAGAATGAAGTATTGATGCATGCAGCAACTCAGATGATTCTGAAGGGCATTATACTGAGTAAAAAAAAAGAATCTCAATCTCAAAGGAATACTATAGGATTCCTTTTATGTACCATTCTTGAAATGGCAAAATGATAGAGATGGAGAACAGATTACTGGTTCCCAAGGCTTAGGGATTGTGGGGGAAAGGGGAGTGGCTCTTACTACAAGGAAGAGCTTTGTGGTAAGGGAATAATTCCGTACCTTGATTGCCGTGGTGGTACACACTTCTAGACATATAATAAAAGGGCTTAGAACTCTACACACACATTGTACCCATGCCAAATTCCTGGTTTTGCTTTCAGACTATAATTACGTAAGAAATAACCATCCGGGGGAACCGGATAAAGGGCACACCAGACCAATCTGTTCTATCTTTGCAACTTCCTGTGAAGCTATAATTATTTCAAAATGAAAAGTTTAAACAAAAACAAAAGCCCAGCAATCTCAATGAGGGCTCCAGGCCAGAGTACATGGTCCCAAAGATCTGGCAGGGGACCCAATGGAGACCTAAATCCCTGCTCATCACCTGGGAGTGTCTGGGACCTCTCCTTGCACAGCTCCAGGCTTGCTCTTTGGTCTTGTTAACAGGAGGAAACCGGGCAGTAGGTTCATGATGTGCCTTGATCTCTAGAGGCCAAGGGCTGCCTGGGGAAGGCATCCATGGGACAGCACTCCTGAGAGTGGCACCTTCAGTGCCTTCGGTCCTCCTTCCATCTTTTTCTCCAAAGAGGTAAATGTTCTCTATGTTGGGTGACTTTACTGCCACACCCACCTGACTCCCCAGGGGAATCAGTGAAGCCAGGCAACTAGGTGTCACTGTGAGCCCTGGGCTATCACTCCCAACCTGCCTGGGTCCCCTCTGGGTCCCCTTCCCGGGACTGTAAGACAGGAAAAACCTCCCAGGTTAGTGAGGTCACATGTATGATGCCCTCAGCCACATGTGCAGCTTTTGACAAGCATGTGGTAAACAATCCTGGGTTCAAACTGCAACCTGCCACTTGTCAGCTGTGACATCCCTCAGTTTTCCCTCTAAGGGTGATGAGGCTTGGCAGTACCAACTTCTGTACCATAGAAATCATGACCATATAAAGCGCTTGGCATAGCGACTGTCATGAATGCACTGTGGGAGCTGTTATTATGGACATTGCCACTTGCTCTCTTGACCAGCACTTCATGGTGACCTTGAGTCACACACCTCTGGGTACACCTAGCCTATACTTAACAGAGGGGCCCTTGGAGACCAAACTGCTGTTCCCTCTTACTCCTCAAAGAAGAGACTCCAGACAGACCAATACAACTAGCGATTGTTTTTGATGAAAGTTTAGGATGAGGCTAAGTTAAAAAAAACTCTATTAGAAGAGTTGTGGAGTAGCCATCGCTGGCCTGGAGTGGCTTCATCAATGAGGATAACGGAGCTGCCTGCCACAGGCACGGTCCTTAAGACAGGATCGGGGGCAACCAGGGAGGGGCCTCAGCCTGGAGCAATCTGGGGGGTTAGGGGGAGGGGAGGGACAAAGAGGTCTTGGTTTTATGACCCTGACCTGGTGCCTGGACATCCTTCTTCCTACTTGGGGTGGCCCACCCCCACCCCTCCCAACAGTCGGGACTGTGAGCCTCGCTTACCTGCGTCCCGGCCTGAAGCCCTCACCTCATGCATCCGTCCCCATCACTCTGAGTTACTCATGTGTTCTGACTCTTCCTCTGCTTGGGATTCCCAAGGGAGGTGTGCCACCAGCCTTTCCTGTTTTGAGCGTGGCCAGAGTAGAGCACGCTTGTGTTCTCCACTCAGCTTGTTTCTTTGAACTTGTCCCTTCTGCTATCTTTAGCATCTAAGGAAGTGGCAGTTCCTCTTGGACTCCTTTCTTTCTCTCCCCTCCAGCATTGGCAAGTTCCATCACTTCCTCCTCCAAAATATGTCCTGACCCCACCCCTTCTTATCACCTCCACTTCCTCTCTTGGATAGCTGCCATGGCCTCCTAAGCCCTCTGCCTGCATCTCCTGGTCATCTGTGCTCAATGTCCACCCAGCTGCCAACAGGGCCTTTCAAACCTCGGGCCTCTGCCTCACATTCCTCTGTGTGTAATTCTCCAGTGGCTTCCCGATTGATTCAGAGTAAGAGACTGAGTCCTGACTGTGACCTACAAGGCCCTCTGGGATCAGGCTGCCTTGGGCACCCACCCCAGCTTCATCATCCTCTCCAGGCTAGTTTCCTTCTTGTTCCATGAACATAACTAGTACATTCCCACCATGGGCCTTTGCACCTGCTCCCTGCAAAAGACGCACATTCCCCAGAAAAAGACAGAGCTCCCTCCCTCCCTTACTTCTGTCTCTACTCAAATGACCTCTTTCTAGAACAGCAGCTTTGCACAGCATGCTCTATCCTGCCCTGCTGGGTGCTGGGTTTCCTCCTCAGCATGCTCACTATCTGACCAACACTTGCATATCGGATCGTCATCTGCCTCTTCCCCAGAACGCCAGCTCCATGATGTCAGAGAGCATTTCTTCTTGGTCACTGCAGTGTCCCTGGACCCCAGCACAGGCCTGGCACTGTCAGCACTGTAAGCTCAGCAAATGTGTTGATGGAACAGATGAATTCTGGGGGAAGCCAGGAACTGGTTGAGGTGTGATGCCTGAATTCCCACCTGACAGTGTGTCATCACCAGTGTTAGTCCCTCTTTGTGTCAGATCACTCCTTTGTTGCCCAAGCTCTGCAGGTTTGCCTATGACCTTCAGGACGTTTGTCCTGTCTCTGAACCACCTGAAATATATTTATTTCATACAATTCTTTAAATCAATTCACCTAATAGATTTTTTTTTTTTTTACTTAGCTTCATCTTAAGCTTTTATTGAAAACAGTCACCAGTTTGGTCTGCTGGTTTCCTCTTGTTCTGACACATACTAAATGAAATGTAATGTTAATGTAAAAGCCGCTCCCCACCCCTCCTCAGGTCGCCTGGTGACAGCATGCTGCTCGGCACCTTGAGCAATACAGGGTTACTCCGGTCCCTCATTATTGACACTGTTCTGCTCCTCGTTACTCGGGGCGAAGTCCTTAGGGGCATTCCTACTAGACCAGACCCGCTGGAGCCGGGGTCTGTTGTCAGGGGACAGGTGTGTCCAGGTGCCAGGGGACAGGTGTGTCAGAGTTGGGTCCCTGCACATGTGCAGGGTCTGGTTGGTACTTGCCCTGTAGCCTCTGGGAAGCCCCTACCATTCTCTGCCTCATCTCCCTCCGCTCTCCAGCCTTATTTTCAGATCCCAGAATTGTGCCAAATGCATACCCACTTGGGGCCTTCACACGGGGTGTCCCATGTGGCTTTCCTTCCACAGGGATCCCTCCCCTGACCCCTGAGGCCCCAGGGCACATTCTACACTCTAAGAGCCCTCCTTGCACTTCTGGGCACAGGCGTCATGCATTTCGGTTAGGAGCATGTGTGAGGTTATGTCATGACCTTCTTGCAAGACTGCAGGAGCTGGGTGAGGAAAGGGCTTGCGCGGCCTCTGGGTTGGGTCCCCTCCTGCTGCTCCTGGTCCCGCTACCACCCACATCTCTTCCTTGCTCCTGCACATGGACTTTCCATTCCAGCCAGAGGCCTCCTCACCTCCCCTCCCAACATGGTTTGCTAGTCCTGCCTCTCAGCCTTGACTTGGCCTTTGGTGTATCCTCTGCCTTTGCTGAAAACCAGGGGAGAATCACCTTCCTCAGGACAGCACCCATAGCCTGCTGCCCCATCCTTACTATCCCGTCAGCACCTCAGTTCCTGGGAGCACCCGTTGCTTCTCATCAAAATGGCAATTCTCCGAGGGGTAAAAGCATGGGCTCTGGAGCCAGGGCTCCAGGCTCCAACTAGGGCTGTGCAGTGACAGCTGGGGGACTCAAGGAAGTGATTGAACTTCCGTGCCTCGGCTCCTCCAACTTCTCAAACATCAGCACAGCACAGTCACCTGGAAAATTCATGAAAACCCAGACTGCTGAGCCACCCCCCAGAGTCTGATTCCCGCAGTCTGGGTGGGGCTGAGAATCTGTATTTCTAACAGCTCCCGGGGGCTGCTGCTGCAAGGACCCCACTTTGAGAACCACTCTCCTAACTGTTAGGCAAGCTAGATGGAGAATAACGTAATCAGGTAGAATCATGTGGCAGGTTCTACACAGTCAACAAATGTTAGTTATGAATACCATACATATAAGAGAGTCTGGCCCTCTTTGAATCCCTGACAGGTGTTGTGGCAAAAGAAGAACTGAGTCCAGAGCCTGGCTACACCCTTTCTCAGCTCTGGGACCCTGGGCAAATCACCTAATGCTCTCACATTCACAGGGTTGTCCTGGAGGCCCCTTCCCAGAATAGCCTGAGCTTCCTGAAGGGCTCAGTATACAGCTGGTACCTAAGTAATGTTTCTTGAATCTAATGGAGTGAGATCTGAAAGGCGGAAGCTGCAGAGTGCAGCATGATCATAGGGAAAGGCAGTCAAACTGGCACAGCTCATGAACCACTGAGGTCTGGAGCCGTCCATGCACAACCACCCAGTTACCTACCGGCAGCAGGAGGAAAAGTCAGTGAGTGAAGACAGCCAGGTGTGGAATAACAGGGAGGGGTGGCAACTGTGGCAAATAGGGAGCCTGGCCCCTTCAGAAGGGGCAGCCACCACCTCTACAGTGAGTCGATGCCGTGAGCCAGCGCCAGCCCAGTGCTGCTGGTCAGTCTGACTGTGGCAGAAGCAAGAATGTGGGTTATGTGAAATCACCCAGGAGCCAAACACAGCACGCTAGGGACCAGATCCAGTCAACGGCTGCCAGACTAGAGTGGGAGCAGCTTACGGGCAGTTGGCCTAGGCTCCAGGCTAGTCTACCTGAGCCCTTGTCCCCACACAGGGCCCAGCAGAGGGCAAGAAGGGGGATGGCAGGCTCCCCAAGAGTGGGTCAGAATCATCAGCATTTAGACAGGCATTTGGCTTCAGGGCATTTATTTCATGTCTCTCTGTACAGACCCTGGGGCCAGGTGTGGGGGCAGGAGACCAGGAAGGGGGTAGCAATAAATAACATGGACAGACGGAGCTCCCCTCCAGACAGATGAGGTTAAAGGGGATTAGAGGGGAGCCACAATGCAGGAGGGGGTTGCTGGCAGGCAGGGGCAGCTGCATAGGAGGTGGAGGTCAGGCCCCCAGGACCTTGCTGTCACCTGCCCCATCCCTCGCCTGCCACAGCCCCCACTGCATTTGGGAGGAAGGGAGTCACCAGCTAGTGGGGCCAGCGAGGGTCCTGAAGGGGGGTGGCCGCATGGGCTGCCCCCAGCTCCCTCACTTGACGCGGATTTCAGCGTACTCGGCTAGCTCCTCCGTCAGGGTGTAGCTGTCCTTGGTGGGCCGCTTTCCCAGGTCCGAGTGAGAATAGCTCAGGTCCAGCTCTGGGGGCTCCCCCCGAAGGCCCAGCAGCCTCCTCTCTGTTCCCAGGCGCTTCTCGCTCTATGAAGTGAACAGGCCCATTAGAAGGCTCCTGCAGCACCTTTTCCAAATGCAAAGCCTGGAGGATCTTGTACTCCCACAGCTCCAGAGCTGAGTCCCAAAGCCCTGTGTGAACCTCCTTTCTCAGGGACCTCCAGCCCTGAAGTCCCTGGATCCCACTCTGGGCCTGTGGCTCTGCTCATCCCCCATGCACAATAACCCCCTTACAGCTAAGTCTCAGGGTCACCTACAAGTACAGTGTCTCCAGGAAGCCTTCTTTAACATAGGAACTTAGGGGGTACACAGTTCAACCTACACCACCTTCCCAGATTAAAAACCAATTGTTTGGGATCCCACCTTGCCAATTTATTTTTAAATGCCGGGCCCAGTGAGCCCTTCCCCTCTGCCTGGGTCTGGCGTGGTCGCCCTGCTCAGTCTGGGAGATCCTGCAAGTGCAGCTTTGGCCTCCCCACCAAGCTCTCCGTCTCTGTGCCCTCCGCCCCACAGGCCTCTGGACACAAACACAGGACAGTGACCACAAACGGACAGAAGGGAGCAGCGATGGGATAAAATAGACAAGGCTAGGTGTGCAGGGTAAGGCCAGACTTCACTGAGGCCCATCCTGGACGCCTGACAGGATGCACAGACATGCACGCCAGCCCCAAGGCCCAGCCAGGGCCCAGAGGCAGGCACACTGAGGCCCCCGGAACCTACCTCCTGGGGTGCTCATTCCAAGGTAGAGACCTCTCTGGACTATTGGAGAAGGAAATGCAGTCACAGACCCAGGCGGTGAGTGTGAGGGCTTCCCTCAGGCCTGAACCCCAAAGCCCCCTTCATAGCCTCAGCCTGGACCCTGCTCTCAGCCAGGTCTAAGCCAGCCCTCCACACATCCTCCTTTCCCTTCTGTGGGGCCGGGATCCCCTCTGCCCCTGGCCTCCCAGGCCCCTTCCTGGCCCTCCCTGGGTTCTCCAGCCAGCCCGCGGGGCTCTGGCACTCACCTCATACTTTTCTGGTGCCCCAGAGATGCGGAAGTCACTGCTGAACAGGACAGGGGGGTTGTCCCCTGCTGAGAAGCTGGGGCTCTGTGTCACGCTCTTTCTGTAGGGCAGGATGTGTCAGCCCAGTGGGACTCCCAGGGTTCTCCCTTCCCTCCTTTTCTGTGCCCCTGACTACCTTAGGAGTTTGGCTCAAGGAACCCCAGAGCTGCTCCCATCCATCTCTAAGACAGGGCAGACAGCCTCCTCAGAGTGACTGCGCTCTTTCTGTCTGCCACTGCCCATCCCTCCCTGCTTCGTGGCTAGGTTAAGCCTCCCGGCCCCTCATCTCTGTCACTGTT